GAGTTCCTCTTTTATGAAATTCTTTCCTCATTGGCTTTCTAGATATAGAGTAATGTCATCTGCAAACGAGGATGATTTTACTTCCTCTATTACTATTTGGATGCCCTTTATTTCTTTCTCTTGTTTGATTGCTCTGGCCAGGACTTCCAACACTTTGTTGAATAGGAGTGGTGAGAGAGGGCATCCTTGTCTTGTTCTGGTTTTCAAGGGGAATGCTTCCAGCTTTTGCTCATTCTGTAACATGTTGGCTGTGGGTTCGTCATAGATGATTCTTACATTTTAAGGTATGTTCTTTCAGTACCTAGTTTGTTGAGAATTTTTAACACGAAGGAATGTTGAATTTTATTAAAAGCCTTTTCTTCATCTGTTGAGATGATTATGTGGTTTTTGACTTTAATTCTGTTTATATGATGAATCACGTTTATTGATTTGCATATGTTGAATCAGCCTTGCATCCCCAGGATAAAGCCTGCTTGATCATGGTGGATTAGCTTTTTGATGTGCTGCTGGATTTTGTTTGCTAGTATTTTGTTGAGAATTTTTGCATGAATGTTAATCAAGAATATTGGCCTGAAATTTTCTTTTTTTGTTGTTGTATCTCTGCCAGGTTTTGTATTTGAATGATGATGGCCTCAGAGAATGAGTTAGAGAGGAGACCTTTCTCCTCAATTCTTTGGAATAGCTTCAGTAGAATTGGTACCAGCTCTTATTTGTACATCTAGTAGAATTCAGCTGTGAATCTGTCTTGTCCTGGGCTTGTTTTTTTTTTTGTTTTTAGGCTATTAATGATTCAATTTCGGAGCTCATTATTGGTCTTAAGAGGGATTCAGTTTCTTTCTGGTTCTGTCTTGGGAGGATATATGTGTCCAGGAATTCACCCATTTCTTCTAAATTTTCTAGTTTCTGTGCATAGAGGTGTTCATAGTAGTCTTTGATGGTTATTTGTATTTCTGTGAGGTCAGTGGTTATATCCCCTTTGTCATCTCTAATTGGATTAGTTTGGGTATTTTCTTCTTTATTAGTCTAGCCAACAGTCTATCTTATATTTTTCAAAAAATTCAGCTCCTGGATTCATTGATCTTTTGTATAGTTTTTCATGTCTCGGCCTTCTTCAGTTCAGCTCTGATACTGGATTTTTCTTTAGACCATATATTTGTACATAACGTGAAATAAGGGACAAATTCATTTTTCCTTTTCCTTTCTCTGTCTCCTTATGTCTTCCTAACACTATTCTTGCTTCCTGCTAACTTCCAATATGGAAATTCACATTCCCCAACAGATAATTTAAAAGACCATTCTTCTCTGTTCTGTACCTGTCATAAATAAACATAAATACATAAACATATACATATATTTATGAATCTGGGCTCTTCATTCTATTCCATTGATTAATTTGTCCATTTTTGCACCAGTAATCCTAGTCTTGACAACTATGGTTGTATGCTGTGTTTTGATATATGCTAGACAAAGTCCTACCTTGTCCCTTTTCATGTTAAGAGTACTCAGATACTGTTTTAGTCTGTTTGTGTAGCTATAACAAAATACCCAAGACTGAGTAATTTATAAATAACAGAAAAATATTTCCCACGGTTCTGGAGGCTGGGATATCTAAGACCAAGGTACTGACAGATTTTGTGTCTAGTGGAGGCTCACTGCTTCCAAGATAGTGCCTTGCTGCTGTGTCCTCACATGGCAGAAGGAGGAAGGGCAAAAGGCCAGATGTAGCTCTCTGAAGCGTCTTTTATAAGGACATGAATCCTATCCATGAGGATAGATCTTTCAGGGCCTAATGACCTCCCAAATGCTGCACGTCATACCACCACTTTGGGGGTTAAGTTCTGGTAAATGAATTTTGGAGAGACACACACATTCAAGTCATAGCCAATACTACTCCTATTTCCATGTGTACCTTAAAGGCAGCTTGTCAAAGTAAGACTGATTGTATTAAATCTGTAGATCAATTTGGGAGAGATTAATATCTGCAATATATCATATCTTTTAATCAGTGATTATGATATCCCCTTTTATTTAGATCTTCTGTATTCTTGCTAATTGAGGCATGACTATGTATACCTTTTAAAGAATATATATATAATCTACATACCTTATAATTCCTTGAACATCTTTGGTTAGATTTATTGTTGGTAGCTGATATTTTTTGATGGAATTATAAATGTTGTATTTTTTTAAATCACGTTTTAACTGTTGCTGATACATAGAAATGTATTCTACATTTGTATGTTGAACATGTATCTTCCTGGCTTGTTAACTTATGAATTCTATACGTTTTTCTGTCTATTATTTTGGAATTTTTACATATGTAGATAGCATCCTTATTTTGTTCCTCATCTTAAAAGGAAAATTTCAATGAAGCATCATTAATCATTAATTAAATAATGGTGTTTACTAAGATCCTTTATGCTGTTCTTACCTTTAATTGGGGTACAAGGTATGGCAGTATCTGTGAAAATGAGAGGATACTACCCTGCCCTAACTCTAATCATTATTGTGGGATATTTGGATTTGGGCATCTTACAAATATGAATCTAGGTGTATACTAAGCAATAAAGTTGTCCCAGGTACTGCAAGCCCATATCAATTGTACGTATTATTAGTACAAACATTGAAAGCATTAAATCTCCCCACTTAAGTTGATAGCACTTACATTAAACAGCCAAGCGAGCCCCAAAGCATACACTAAATCTGTTGTGGCACTGCCCAGTGTCATCTTTGGTCATGGTAGAAATGTTAACAGCCATGCATTGCTTAACCACAGGGATACGTTCTGGGAAATGTCTGAAAATGTATTTATCAATATTTTGTTTCTAAATTCATGTTTTTTCTTCAATGCACTGGAACCGTATGCATGATACTGAGGCAGTGGTAAGCTCTTATTACTCTAAAGGGAGTGGCTGAGGGCAAAGTCAGATGCATCAGAGAATATAGTTAGTAAGTTTCAAAGTTTATTTGTAGCCATCACATGGAATACAAAACAACAGAAAGCAAGTTTTTCTGTTAATTTAAGGCTACCAGTTTGACAGGCTGGAGTTAGTGTCATGGAATGAACAAATCAAATAATTGAATAAGAATTTTCACAATGACCTTCTTCACAGAACTGGAAAAAAACACCTTAAACTTCATATGGAACCAAAAGAGAGCCCGCATAGCCAAGTCAATTCTAAGCAAAAAGAACAAAGCGGGAGGCATCACACTACTGGACTTCAAACTATACTACAAGGCACAGTAATCAAAACAGCATGTTACTGGTACCAAAACAGAGATATAGACCAATGGAACAGAACAGAGGCCTCGGAGGCAACACAACATATCTACAACCATATGATCTTTGACAAACCTGACAAAAACAAGCAATGGGGAAAGGATTCCCTGTTCAATAAATGGTGTTGGGAAAACTGGCTAGCCATGTGCAGAAAGCAGAAACTGTACCCCTTCCTGACACTTTACACTAAAATTAACTCCAGATGGATTAAAGACTTAAACATAAGACCTAACACCATAAAAACCCTAGAAGAAAATCTAGGCAAAACCATTCAGGACATAGACATAGGCAAGGACTTCATGACCAAAACACCAAAAGCATTGACAACAAGAGCCAAAATAGACAAATGGGACCTAATCAAACTCCACAGCTTCTGCACAGCAAAAGAAAACAGTCATTAGAGTGAATCGGCAACCAACAGAATGGGAAAAATTTTTTGCAGTTTACCCATCTGACAAAGGGCTGATATCCAGAATTTACAAAGAACTAAAACAGTTTTACATTAAAAAAACAAACAAGCCCATTCAAAAGTGGGCAAAGGATATGAACAGATACTTTACTAAAGAAGACATACATGAGGCCAACAAACATATGAAAAAATGCTCACCATCACTGGTCATCAGAGAAATGCAAATCAAAACTACATTGAGATACCATCTCATGCCAGTTAGAATGGCGATCATTAAAAAATCTGGAGACAACAGATGCTGGAGAGGATATGGAGAAACAGGAACACTTTTACACTGTTGGTGGGAGTGTAAATTAGTTCAACCATTGTGGAAGACAGTGTGGGAATTCCTCAAGGACCTAGAAATAGAAATTCCATTTGACCCAGCAATCCCATTACTGGGTATATATCCAAAGGATTATAAAGCATTCTACTATAAGGACACTTGCACACGAATGTTCATTGCAGGACTGTTTACAATAGCAAAGACCTGGAACCAACCCAAATGTCCATCGATGATAGACTGGACAGGGAAAATGTGGCACATATACACCATGGAATATTATGCAGCCATCAAAAACGATGAGTTCGTGTCCTTTGTAGGGACATGGATGAACCTGGAAACCATCATTCTCAGCAAACTGACAGAAGAGCAGAAAATCAAACACCGTATGTTCTCACTCATAGGTGGGTGTTGAACAATGAGAACACATGGACACAGGGAGGGGAACACTACACACTGGGGTCTGTGGGTGAAAATAGGGGAGGCATAGTCGGGGGTGGGGAGTTGGGGAGAGATGCCAGATGTAGGTGATGGGGAGGAAGGCAGCAAAACACACTGCCACGTGTGTACCTGTGCAACAATATTGCATGTTCTTCACATGTACCCCAAAACCTAAAATGCAATAAAATAAATAAATGGAATTAAAAAAAAAAAGAATTTTCAAAGAAGTAATCCAAGTCTTAGTTACCCAATTTAAAGATTACACTTGGTCATACAGTCATGTGTCTTTTAATAACAGTGATACGTTCTGAGAAATGCATCGTTCAGGCAATTCTGTCCTTGTGCAAATGTCATGGAATGTACTTACACAAACCTAGATAGTAGAGCCTGTAACACATGTTGGCTATATGGTATACCCGATTGCTCCTAGGCTAAAATCCTGTATAGCATGTTACTGAATACTGTAGGTAATTGTAACACAATGATAAGTATTAATGTATCTAAACATATATCAGCATAGAAGACTTAGAAAATATGGCACAGAAGATAAAAGCAGCACAGCTACAGGGCACTTACCATAAATGGAGCTTGAAGGACTGGAAGTTGCCCTGGATGGGTCAGTGAGCGAGTGGTGAGTGAATGGGAAGGCCTAGGACATTGCTTAACATTACTGTAGACCTTTGTAAACACTGTGCACTTAGGCTGCACTAAATTTATTTAAAAATATTTTCTTCAATAATAAATTAACCTTAGGCTACTGTAATGATTTTCTTTTATAAATTTGTAATTTTAAAAAAACTTTGACTTTTGCCATAACATTTAGCTTAAAACACAAACATTATACAGCTGTACAAAAGTATTTTCTTTCTTTATATACTTATTCTCTAAGCTTTTTTCAATTTTTAAAAATTTTATTAATTTTTTTTTTGCTTCATAAACATTTTTGTTAAAAAGTAAGACACAAACGCACTCCTTAGCCTTGGCCTACAATTGATCATTGATATACCACTGTCTTCAACCTCAGCATCTTGTGCCACTCACTGGAAAGTCTTCAGAGGCAGTAACTAGCATAGACCTGCCGTCTCCTGGGATAACAGCGCCTTCTTCTGGATACCTCCTGAAGGACCTGCCTGAGGCTGTTATACGCTAACTTTTTTTTTTTTTAATCTGTAGAAGGAGTACACTCCAAAATAACAATAATAGTATAGTATAGCAAATTCATAAACCAGTAACAGTCATTTATTACTGTTATTAAGTACTGTACAGCATGTATGTGCTGTATTTTTACATGACTTGCAGCATGGAAGGTTTTTTTTTTTTTTTTTTTAATAGTAGCAGCACTGCTAACGCCTGAGCAATGTGACTGTGATAGGATGACTGCAGTGTCACTAGGCTGTAGGAATTTTTCAGCTCCCTTAAAGTCTTATGGGACTATCCTTGTATATGGAATCCATCATTGGCCTAAATGCTGTTGTGTGGTGCATGATTGTTTATTTGTGCTGTTCAGTATGGTAACCACTAGGTACATGTGACCATTGAACATGAAACCTTGCTAGCATCACTGAGGAACTGAAGTTTTAATTTTAAGTAATAAATTTTAAATTTAGATAGGCAGATGTAGTTAATGCATACTATATTGGAGAGTATAGTGGAGAAAGCACATTTAGAAATGTCCTATGCCCTTCCTTCTCTTAGGAATAGCAGCCTTTGGGCAGAGGAACTTTCTCCTTCTCCCTTCTCCCTTCTTTGAGGCTCTTACCCACCTTTTTCAGTTTGCTGCCCTTTGGAAGCTTCACTTGTCATTTCTTAAGGATTGTCACCTTGGGTGGTTCACTCAGCCCCTGTTTCACCTTCTGACTCTTTGCTCAGGGTCCTGCTGCTGCTCCCTTTGTCCCTGGAGAAAGGAGTAAATGTGCTCTTCCTGTCCAAGGGGCCACCACTGGGTCAGGGGATTGTTTTATTTAACCCAGAACATGTTTTCGGAGCTTTCAAAGTTAAGGGAAGAGGATGATAGAAATGATACCACATCACCTAGGCAAGGTTGTTGGAACTCCCGTGGGTTGGATGGGGTTACTTCATGGAGGATTACACTGAGACATGGGGGCAGAGGGGAGCCCTGGTGACAGAGGCCACCAGATACTCATTGGCATCAGCATTTAAGGGAAATGTAGTTTATTTCTGCCTTGTTTTCTGATACTTTAATATGTTGGCCCACTGCCGTTAGTAGAAATGTGTGGTATTTACTCTGTATTGCAATTTGAAAAGACTCCTAGATAAATCTGAGCAAGTGATTATTTCCCTTTTGAACCCGATTTCCTAGTAAATTGGTTTTTTCCTGCAATAAGAAAGCTAGTATATTTCATTTCTACAGAAAGTGTGACATCTCTTTATTGATTATTTGATTCAGTCGTTGATTACATCATTCAACAAACAATTATTGAAAAACTATTATGCTTCATACACTCTGCTGTGTAGAATATTATTCAAAAGTAAAAAAAAACTCAGGGAAGTTACAGTTTGTTGGGGATATAGACGAACATAGTATTAATTCTAATTGTATAATGGCAATTAGAATTATGGGAAGTCAATGCTGGGTGATACAGGGTGTTATGGAAGCACAGAAGAGGGGAACTTAACATGGGTGGTCATACAGTGCTTCAGAAAGGGGGTGATATCCAATCTGAGACTACCAAGACTGTAAGGATTTATGGTAGGAGGATGGGAAAGGAAGAATGTTTTAGACAAATATAGTGGCTGGTTGTTGTTGTAACATGTTACCACATACTGTAATTTAAAATAAGAAAAAACTTCTTATCTTACTGTTCTAGAGACTAGAAGTCCCCAAATGCATCTCACTGGGCCAAACTCAAAAGTGTCAGCAGGGCTGCATTGTTTCTGGAGGCCCTCAGGGAGAGTCAGTTTCCTTACCTTTTCCAGCTTACAAAAGTTGCTTGCTGTCCTTGGCTTGTGCTTCTTTATCTTCAAAGCCAGGAGCTGGGCATCTTTAAATCCCTAACCCTGCCCTCCTGCCTCGCTCTGCCATTTGTGTGGACTCTTGTAATTATGTTGAGCCCACCTGGATAATCTCCCCATCTCCAGGTCAGCTGATGAGCAAATTTAATTCCCCCTTCCCATGTCATTTAACATCTTCATGCATTCTGGGGATTAAGACATGGACATCATTGGGGCTGCCATTATTCTGCATATTATTGCAGACGAAAGAACAAAGTATGAATGAAGAGCTGAAATAAATTTAGCATGGCTGAAGCTTAGCCCATGGGGAAGGAGATGAGAAGAGATGGGGCTGAAGAAGGAAGCCAGGGAAATGTGATTGAGTTTCATTCTGAGGAAAATGAGAGACTGTTCAAGAATGATATTAATATAATTAGATTTGAGCTACTGAAAACTTCCTCTACCTGCATTTGGAGGCTCTTCACTGACAACACATGCCTACTTCACTGACTATAAGTTGAAACTAATTAACTGAGAATTATCAGAGCTTAACCTGAAATCTGAGATAGTAAAGGAAAAAAAGAATGTCTTTATATGTAGGCAGAACATCAAAAATGCAATTCGGAAAATAATTTGATTACAGGCTATTCAAAATATTGAGCAATATTTGGACGAAGACTCTTTTCATCTGGTGAATACCCAGGTAAGCCTGAATTCACACAAGTGGATTTACTGGTTTATGTAAGTGAAAATTCCAAAGGTACTCCCTTAGGTATAGCAGGGTCCAGAGGCTCAGATGCTCTCATCTGTGTTGCTTCATCAGTCAGGGTGGACTCTTCCCTTGTGGAACTAAGATGTAAGCAACAGGCGTGGGCCCTTACCCTCCTGGATGACATACCCCAATACTGAGGAGGTGGGGTGGGCTGGCAGTAGTTCGAGTAGAAGTCCTAGAGTTGAGCCTCACTAGACCATCTTGAGTTCTGTGTTCATTTCTGAGCCAGTTACTGGCCAATTAAATGTGATGTTGGGGAGGACAGAGTTAATAGTTGACTACTCTGCTATTTAGGCAACCCCAGAAGCTTGCTCCTGTAAATAGCAGTGTGTTTTGAGAGCTGGGCTTCTAGCTTTGTAACCAGAATTCAATTAAAACTGTTCAAAGGGGGCCATTGTGTAAATTTCTTTGTCACATGTTATTATTATATGGTTCTAAAATCTATCATATCATTGCTATTCTCTGATTATTCTCTACGCATGGTCCAGGATTTGAAATCTTAAGATGTACATGTCTATGTTCTGTCAAATTTTCATTTAAAATCAGCATAAAGGCTTTTGGTAATTGACATCATTTGCTTGACTTTGAAAACGGAAATATTTAATTAAACTTTATATAATAATGAAAGAAAATCATGCTTTTATTTTAGATCACTTTCTTCCCTTGAGCAATTGACTGTCTCTTTCAGTCTTTGTCAGCAGATTTAATCTCACTTCCAGTAAATGCTTTTCCATCACATTATCTTCATTAAAATACAGATGTTCATTAGAATCATTCCGTGTTCTTTAGACATTGAGTACGTGATGACATTCTGTTCCCAGCATTTCTGTCATTTGTGCCTTAACATTTGTAAATGGGGCATCTCTTTTTCTTTTAAGGGTATGATTTCAGATTGAGCCAGTGTAAAATATATTAGAGTGTGGTTTTTTCCCAGATTGGCTTTATTTATGTTAAAAGTGACAGAAACACTTGAAGCCACTCTCCATCTTTATCCTCATCTGCTCAGAGTTGCTGCTGTTCACTATTCAGCCTTCACCAACACATCTCTGCAGATGACTTGAAGCAAATCTCCAAATCTGACACCTTTTTCTACTTCAATTTCTAGCTTTGTTTTTAACATTTATAACTGTTTTGTTAACTTAACATCTTTTAAACCGCCCTTATTATCTCTGATGTCTCTGCTGTACTCACTCCCCACGTTCACACTCTCACCACGGCTCATTTCTTCCCTACCAATTTGTACCCATTTCTTTCCAGAATGATTGCTACCAACAATTTAGTTCCTTATAAGATTTCTGAACCTCTTCAGTAACCTGCTGTTCTTCTTTCTATGAGCTCTTTCACTTCCATCTTGCTAGAATTGAGATAAAAAAACTTTCTAAAACACCATTAAAGCCTGAAGAGTTTTGAGAGTTGAACTTTATATTCCCACTCCTTCTTTTGACAGCAGGTTGAGAAGCAATTTTTCTAAAGTAGTAACTCTTGGTGATTGTATTATTGTCTCAGTACTTACTTGTTCCATGTGCAGCTGTCTTATCTTTTAGTCTGGACTGTAACTTCTTGGAGGGCAGAAGACATGGTTTATACTTTCCTGTGCAAAGTGTGTACAGAACTGAGTACTAACCTTTATAAAAGGGTAAATGCTTAGTAAATTTACTATGAAAATGATAAAAGGGAGTTTTGAGGTTAAATGAGGGGTTGTCTTTTTTTTTCAGAATGGCAGAATCAGTTACAATGGATAGCCCCCTTCAGTTTTAAATCAAAGACTAGAAAAACATCGTATTTGTAATGTTAAAAGTTTTTAAGAATACATACTCAATCTTAAAATCAAGAAAGAGAATCCTTCAGGTGTCAGAAATGAAGAGGGAGCCCACAGCACTGAATGGCAAGGGGAGTAACTTGAGAAGATATGTGTGGTGGAGTCTAGAGTTTTAGGTGGAGGCTGCAGGGTGCCAGCCTAGTGGCATACCAGAAGTGGGCTGAGACTTGGGCACAGCAGTCCTACTGGACATACTCTGAACTGAACCCACAGTGCAAACTGGGCCCTAGCTTTCTCTTTCCTGTTTTATAAGCCAAATTTTCATTGTGTAGAAGCACAAAGCTCAGAAACTAACATAAAATTTGGTCTGCAAATTAGGACACCCCATATGACCTCATCAGGGATGTCTCCACAACCCACGTTACTGAGGGGACCTCCATGAGGATAAAGGATTCTGAATTATTATGAGCTCATAGACAAATATTATAAGCACATTAGAAAATCCACTCGGTGAGAGCTAGTCGGTAGATACAGAAACAAGATTAACTAATCAATTACAGATAATAAATACTAAAGGACCACACCCTACAAGGAACAATAAGGGCATTAAAATTAATTGCAGCCTAATTTAGGGGAAGGAGAGTCTACAAATAAAAATACAGCAATGAAAAATTGTAAAAAGTCAGTAGATTGATTTAAGAGCAAAAAGGGTATCATTGTCCTGGAAAGATGGAGCCAAGGCCACATTCTGTGTTACTTTGGGCAGTGCTGGGCTATGGCCAGAAACTCCTGGCTGCTCCGAAGAGAGAAGGTGCTGCTGGTGGTACACATTCTTCATTTATTTTCCCCCTTTCTCTTTAAATTTAGATGACCTTATTTTTGTTGCCTTTGTAATGTGGAGGTGGATTTATAATCTTTGTTGACAAAGAACAGGGTAATACTCCAGCTGGTAAGATGATACAGAAGCCTAAAATTGTGCTAGTGATGGAAGGGAGAACCTATGGGAAGAAGATTGCTTTTGAAAGACAAAACCTTGTTTCTTGTTCTTTTTCTCTTTTTCCCTGACTGCATTGTGTTCTGTGCCAGGGGTTTGTGGCTCCCCACCTTTCCCACCTCCCTTTGGGGTAGCTGCAGGGGGCGTCTCCTTCATCTGTGGCACCTGAGCAGTGCTCTTTTTGAGAGTCTTGCCTTGGGCAGTGGTGCTCATCATGAAATAAGCAATTCTCATTTTGTCTCCTAGATTTTTCTCCTATGCTAACCCTGGGTCTGCTTTCAAGTGTTCATTCTTCCTTATACTTCAAAGTTGGAAGTGTTGGATGTTATTATTTTCCTTGTAGTGCTGAAATAGAGTAGATTTGTGATGAGCTGTCTACTGCTGTGTCTTGACTAAAGTTTATCAAAATGCAGGATATTCAGCTGTTCTTTGACACTTTAGTTGTTGCTTTAAATTCAAAATAACTGATATGTATAGGTTTTAAAGAAGCTTGTTCATGCCCCATCCACAAGTTCTTCTGTTTTTTCAACCCCTCCCATCTCCTGCCTATGGTATATGTCCCACAACAAGGGACTTCTGGATGTCTAATTAAAGTTACTTAAATATTAAAAAGGCAGCTATGAAAAAAAACCATAGCTGTGCCACTTATATGATTGCATGCATTTCTTTTTTTGTTATCATCTATATTTTTTATTTTAACATCCAAGAAGCCCCCAAGTGAAGACACAAGTGCACCACTATGTTGAGAAATAAAAGATAAACATAGCATAATTGGCTCAGACTGGGATCATGACATGATGCGGTGACTATGTCGTGTTGCTGACATTTGCATGTTTGAAGAAATACATATATGTAATATTTGAATATATGCAATTTTTGACTTCATAATATTTGACGCAGTATGGGTAGAGTCTGTGTAATGTTATCATTGGTTAAGTGGTAACCAATGATAACATAATTTACCCTGGTGGTACAAACATAACCTTATATTTTTTACCCTCGAGTTCTTAGCTCTTCTTTTTCTCACTCTAAAGATAAAGTAGAACATGTTTCTTGCTGTCCCAAGGAAGACGCCTGTTCCTGTGTCCCTGTGTCTTATGCATATTCATAACACATCGAACCCTGTTGGTTATGAGTGATGGATGGAGCTTGAGGGATTGTATTATAGGCAAGTCTCCAAACCGTGTGTTTGCCAGTATTTCTTTCTTCATCTCTGTTTCATCAAATCTGTGAACTAGAAACAAAATTGACAGTGTGGAATTCAATTTTCCCTTTCCGTGTTTCCTGGCACTCTCTTGGATAATTAGAGCCGTGTGATGAAGTGGTGCAGATGGAGGTGGCTGAGGGCACAGAGGAGAAGCAGGGATGGGAGTCCTGGCATAGGAGGCCCCCTCTGTCTATGGAGAAGCAAGTTGGATTTGTTCTTAGCAGTGGGGAAAATATAACTTATTTTCTATGAGATTCCAGGCAGTGATTTCTGAGATGACATCTATGTCTTCTTAATTTAAATGGATGAACTTCACTGCATATGGAAAACATAACCTGCCTTTCTTACAGAAACTGCCTTTGTGAGGATTAAAGTAAAAAGTTGTCCTGATTTTTATTACTTCATTGGATTCAAGTCATAGGAAGTGAGCCTGAATTTGGTGACATACTTCAGATTTTTCCTGTTGTGCTCAATCTTATTGACAAAGGACTGAGGTTGAATTGTTGAAGTTACATATGCAAAATCAGAAGATCTCAGCTAACCTTGAGGAAAGTTTTTGATGAGTTGGATAGGAAGTTTAACTCTAAATATAAGAAATGAGAAATGTGTTAGAATAAAGAACATTTTATTAGTTTATTAGTATTATAACTATCTCCTAAGTTTCCTTTAATGTGTGACTCTAATATTCTCTAATATTCAAAGTGAATTTGCAGCAAGTATAAAGATGTTCACTTCTGATTTGTATTACACTCTTCACTGGAAGAAACATAAAGCAATACAAACTCCCAGATTTTAACAACAACAGTAATAACAGCTGCTGATTACAGAGTACCTGCTCTAAATCAGATGCCCTGGGAGGTTCTCCCCATTAATTAAATTCTTAGCAGTCATTACCCACGTGTGACAGTTAAGGACCCTGAGACTTGAGGAGGCTAAAGATTCAGTCTCAGTCCCTGGAGCTGATGAGTGTCGCTGTGAGGCTTCTAACCTGGCTTTCTCTGTCATCAGCCCCTTAGATCACCTGGTGTCCTCCAGGATGCCGGTAGGAGGCGGCGGGCAAGCGAGTGAAGCTTTCTCTCCAGGGCTTGGCCAAATTGCCCTGTTTATCTGTGCCCCATTTTCCATCTGCAAATAGTAGCACCCAGCTCTTGAGTAGGGTGAGTTAGTTAGTTCAGGAAGCGAGATTTAAAGAGTCACACAGGAAACCCTCAGCAAGTTCACAGTCACGTAGGTCTCCCTTTCCTATGCCTTCCATGGTCAGCTGCTGGGACCACTCTTCTCTTCCAGACCACCACACTCATGCTCCTCCTGGTCTAGCCCAGGTGTGCTCTCATGTGTTATCCTTTTCAAGGCAGGGTGCAGGGGAGGGGATAACTCTGCCTCTGTAGCTTCTCGGTCCTCCAAGCGGCCACTGCCCCTCCTGTTACCAAGACCTCTCCTCTTGGCCTTAGCTCCTAGGCTCAAGCCTCAGCTCCTCCTTTCTGTGCATTTCCTACCATAAGCTCATCCTCTGACCCCACACCCTGCGCTGTTGTCATTAAATGCTCTGAATACCTGAGCCCCTTTGAGTGTTATAGTGATGAGTTTTACCAGAGCCCTTCCTGTGATGCTTATCTTGATAAGGGGAAGTTGGTGGTAGACTAGGGAGGAAGCAATGAGAAGATTAAAAAGGGTTGGGAACAGAAGACACAAATGCCTAAAGATATGAGCAATAAAATTCGTAAGAAAACCTCAATGTGTGTTCCTGTTTCAGGGGCTAATCTGCAATATTACATTCTTTGGCAACAGATTGTCCAGAGAGAGTGATTATTCCTGAGCTTCTGTGGGACTTAGTGAGTCTGGAATAATAGGAGGCAAGTGGGAACCTGGAAGTGGGGTTGGGGAAATGGGAGTGAGACAGCCAGCTAGAATCAGAAATACCCAGCTTAAGGATCTGCAGCAGCCAAACACCCCCACGCACCTACCCACTGCCTTTCTCATCTGCCCCCACTGCCCCAACCTACCACCTTTCTGGAGCTCTAGTCCTTGTTCCTCTAGGCCCTGGGAACTGCCCTTTGGCTTGTTGGGGTTGAGGTATGGATGAAGGTAGGTCCTCAAAATGCAAGACAAACTGAATTTTCCCCTGGTAGCATTTTAATTTCGTAGTTGGTTTCTGTAGTACATGTGTTACTGTGCTAACTGAGGATGTAGTGTGTTATGTTGCCCTCATTATGAATAGCCTGGGGACGCAGATTACTTGAAGTACATAGTTTCCCTTAAGAGCGTTTATTATGATTTCTATATAGTCTGCTTACAAATGAATTTCTTGAGCAAAGCCTGTGTGTAAGCAGTGGATGTATGCATTTGTACTTGATTCTTAAAGCATTAGAGTTGCAATGGAAGTAATGTGAGCCTTAGTTTATTGAGAGAAACCTACTTAGTAACTTGTGTGTGTCAGGGAAAAAGAGACAGGGGTCGGGTGGTGGGGGTGTGGTGGTGGCAGGAGGGGGTCAGGGGAGGGGAGGGGAAGAGAGACAAGGATGATTTAAACAGAGATTTGAATTGTACCTTCTCTGGAGTTTGCTGGGGGGGCATTAAACCTATGGATTAATTCAAGCAAAATATCTCATGTGTGTAACCTTTAAAACTGTGTTGTATTTATTAAGACTATTTTGTATAAATTTGCATTCAACTAGATGATTATTCTCCCTAGCATTCTGGTTTTTTTTTTTTTTTCAATTGAAACATACTGATTTTACCAAAACCCCTTTCAGTACCTTTGATTCTTTCTGTTAGGCCAGGCAGAATTTTGAATGACACTATTAATTTAACTTCCTTTTAAATGAATAAAATCAGCACATCCACAGTTTGCATATTTTTTTCTGAACAATTGAATTCTTGTTTTATTTTATCTTTTGTCCAATAATTTTTTCAGCCAATTTTGGGCCAATGGCCACCAGTGATATTGCAGCATAGACAGTGTGCCTCATGAAATAAGACTATAGGAAATAAAATATGCAAAAATCAATAAAGTTTCATGGAACAGTTTCTGCAAGGAGCAGAAAGGCAAGCATGGCTCAGTAAAGTGACAACAGCCGGTGACACCAAGCCCAGATCTGATTCCCATCAGAGTCACCCTTTTTACTGAGCCCAGTGAATATTTCTGTGATATCCTGTCCCCATGTACCAGGAACATTTTGCCCTGGTTGCACAGCCCCAGCAAGGGGCTTTGCATAGGCTTTGCACAGGATGCTTGGGAGACGAGACTCAAACTCTTTCCCCACCCCAACATGGAGTCTTCCTCTGCTGCTTAGTATACAGCTCAGTGGTACAATCATAGCTCACTGTAGCCTTGATCTCTGGGGCTCAAGTGGTTCTCCTATCTCAAGTATCTGGGAATACCGTGGTGGGAATACCACCATGCCTGGCGAATTTTTTTTATTTTTATTTTTAGTAGAGATGAGGTTTTGCTGTGTGGCCCAAACTGATCACAAACTCCCAAGCTCAAGCATTTCTCCCATCTCAGCCTCCCAAAGTGTTGGAATTATAGACATGAGCCACTGTGCCCAGCTGAAGACTTGAAGTCTTGATGCCAAAGGGAGGGAAGATTTGTTGTCTGCTCTTTGGTATTCCTGAGAGTGACACATGGGGCTGGGATCTCTGTGACACTGTTATACAAGTCAAGCAGATCCTTTGGAACTTTATGTGGGAAGTATTGTTGGGCAATTATAATCTATATTCTGAACACTTGGAAGGGTTAATGTAACCAGTGTTTGGGCATTTGGGTGGTGTTTGCACATGTATCAGCCTCAGTTTCTGAGAGACTCTGGATAGATTAATATCCAGAATTACTTTTTGTAAAGTTTTCCTGGGTATGTCATTGGAATGAATTTGAACTCTGGTTCTGAAATCTTTTATATGATAGTTATATCCATCAAAGCTCTTGTGCACTGATTCTTAATCAAGAAAAAATGAATTAAATCTCCTTAAATGAATTAAACACATTCTCAATTTAGTGTGTTTTTATTACCAACCTTATCCCTGTGATAACAGTATTGGATGAATGAGGCATTGTTGAATGACTGACACTCCTCAAATTTCCAGTTCTTCTCTGTCCATCATTCACTTCAAGTGTTGCTTTTTTCCTTATTTCAGCTTTTTAAGTGACTTCTGACATGTTTTAAAAAAGGTTTTGATGAGGCCATAGGTCCTCTTAGGTGCATTGTGCACTGCTGTTGCTCTTCCTTTTATCTCTCTCCTTCCATAAGTAGGAACATATTTTATAAGCTGCTTTTCTCTTTCTAGTCAAGGTACCTGGAAGCAGCCCCATTCACATTTGTGGGGCTGCAGATGAATGGTATTTTGCAATGGGAAGTGAGCCTCCTAGGTCTTAAGCTCCATGGGTTTAGCACAGGAGAGGCATGAGCTGCTCTAGGAATCTCCTGCAGCTATTTATAAAAAGATGGACTCTTTCTCTTCCCTAGGGGACAGAGTATGATGGATTGTCATGGTAGTGTATGAAAATAAACCTCTACAAAGCAGCACAGGAGAGCTGTGTAATTAGCCTGGAATTTAAAATATCCAGTTGCCAACTTCACCACTGAATGTTGAAAACTGAGACTTGGAAAGTTTTTTTTTCCTTTGACAGTGATACTTGTTCAAAGTACACTTGCTTGTGATGGAGAAATTGGGTCTAGATGGTCTAGCTCTTTGAAGAGTGAGCATTAAGTGCCACTACACAGTGTGTGAATGAAGCATGAAATGATACCATCAGAGCAGCAGGAGCGCAGAGGTGCTTGGTGGATCTTGTCAGTCTGAGGTTGAACTAAAGCGCAGAAGCACACAACAAGATATTTCTAAAACCTGACATAGCTTTTTTGTGCTATTCATGTGCACGTAACAGTGCCTTAGCCACCTAACTCTGAGACATCATGCTGACGAATTGCTCCCTGTGACTTACCTGTGTGCAGTTTATGCCCACTTTGGTGATGTTTCTCTTCTAGAGTATCTCCTACTCTTGTTCTGTAAAAGATAAACATATGCCAGTGCCATGTTCTTCCACAGAAATCAAAGTATGAGGGATAAATGAGTGAGGGGAAGGGCAGAGGGAAAGAAAATGTGAACGTAAGAATACAGTAGATGCACATTAGGGTGTTGTGATCTCAATACAGTAGATTAACGTTAGTGTGCTACGACCTCATGGAGAAATTTTATAGCTGAATCATTGCTGAGACTGACAAAGATCAAAAGCTTGGAACTGGTAGCCAGTTAAGACTGTTTCTCAAAGATAGAATGTGTCATTCATTTCTGGGCTTTCCATCCATGCCACAGTTCAGTTATTGAATATCCTTTAAATGCCACATTCTTGGTAACCACATAAGAAATACTCAAATGTTGAAGGCAGAGGACCTGGCTCCAGGGCATTTATCATCTAGATGTGGACCACCTTCCTATTCATCCTGCTTGGAACTTCATGGGCCTTCAGGACTGAGAAGCTGTTTACCTTCAACTCTGGACACTTTTCTTATTTCTTTAGTTTTGTCTGTTACTTTCTCTATATTCTTTTAATTATTTATTCTTTAATTTTTTTCATATTGGACATATGTTAAAACTTCTAAGTTCTTGCGTGTCTTAGCTTTTCTTTCACATTTTTTTGTCCTTTTTTTTTTTTTTTTTTTCTGTGGGATATGAATTGCCTTTTGGGATAATTCTTTGGTTCTGTCTTCCAGATTACTAACTTATTGCTCAGCTGTGTCCTTTCTCATTTGGACCCAATGTTTTCTCATATAAAAATTGTCTAAAAATTCCAGAATAACCTTTAAAAAACTATTATTAACATGGTAGCCTATTTCTTTTCAGACCACTTTCAAAATCTTCTCTCACCTTAATGCTTATTTACTAAAGCATTCCTTAAATTATTGGTTGTATTTGCCACTTCTCCTTCTTGGTCTTCATTTTCTGCAAATGTTAAACTTTGTGGTTGTGTGTACATTTCCATGCTTGACATCTGATATTATACGATTTGTGAGGCTATATTTGTTTTCAGCTACTTTTCTCTAGGGATTGTGGGAAATGGGTGCTGAGAGAGGTGTTTGCTGGTTCTGTGGGGATCCCTGTTTTTTCAGGGTCTCGGCAGCCTCCTATAACAAATTTGCAAGATCCTGCTGTGTGTACACACTGTGCCAGGCTGGGTGTACCCCCTTAAGCACGTAGGTGGTGCTTATAAGTACCATGGTAAAATTATGGCTTAGGGCTCAGGGTAAAATTTAAAAAAGGGAACAGATTACATTGCACTGTGGGCAATAAGAAACACTTTATGCGAGATTCTGAGAAGGGCCTGGAAGAATGGATGGTATTTCAACAGGAGGTAATGAGGGAATGCAGTTTCAGTGTGGGCACCTGAATGGACAAAAGGACAGGTGTCATAGAAAACAGGTTCTGGGAAACCTGCATCATCTAATTCACTAGAGAGGGAGAATAGTGATGCTATAAGTAGCAAATGAAGTCAGTTGGGCACTTATATGTGTTGAGCACTACCATCCATCTGAATAGTTGCTTAATCCAGGAATTGGGGAGTGGCCCCAGCTGCTGCTTCTTTCTCTTTATCCATAAAGTTAGGGTTCTTGAATTTTCCTCCTCCATAATGTCCTTCAAACCTGTCCTCTTTTCTCTATTGTCATGTCTGCCACAGTTTTCTCAGTCATTGGCAAAATATTCACTACTTTATACTTTTGTTTTGAAACTGATGGAATTGTCTCAGAGAACTGATGTTTATGGTTTCTTTTAAATAAGTACAGAAATTTACCCTCCCAATCTTAAATCTTGAGAAAGTTACATGTGTCTTATCTGAGTTCCTTTTTCAGGAAATCAACCATCAAGCCTCCCAGATAATATCAAGGAACTGAAACATTCCAAATCACAGCATCAGTACAATGAGACACCAGACCCTTCACCCAACATGGCTGCCTAAACCACTACCTGCTGTCTGTTGACTAACTCTTCTTCCTTACCCCTTCCTGGTTCCTGTTTTCCTACTCATAGTTAAATTTCTTCCCTGCTATGTAAACACCTAATTTTAGTTGGTTTAGGAGATGGATTTGTGACTGATCTCCCATCTCCTCTTCTGCAGTACCTGAATAAAGCTTTGTCCTAGTAATTGGACTCCTGTGTGGCAGCAATGGCACCTATCTATGCTATATCCTAGATGTTTCAGTAGCAGTTCTGTGAAGGTAGAAAAATTGATTGTGGAGTTAAGTGAAATATTTGGTTTGGGGCATGTTTCTAGCTTATTAATAGTATGTTTTCCTCATAGAGATGTCTAGTACATAGTTAGAAATAGAGGCATAAGCTGGGCATCATTGCATATACCTGTGACCCCAGCTACTAGGTAGGTTCAGGTGGGAGGATCCCTTGAGGCCAGGATTTTGAAGCTGTAGTGTGCTATGATCATGCCTGTGAATAGCCACTGCACTCTATCCCAGGCAATAATAATATTAATATATAGTGGCCCTGCCTTTAAAAAAATAGAAAAGAAAAGAAATAGAGGCCTAGTATTGAGGGAAAGTTTACTGATAAAGCAGCAGATTTCAGAGAGATTGTAGTTTAACGTATGGGAATAGATTTAATACATGGAAGGAAAATCAATAAAGAAAGGCAAAATGAGGCTTTAGTACAAAACCAACGGAACTCCTAAACATAAGGAAACAGCTGCCCTCATGTAGTGAGCACAAGATCCACATTGTTTGAAGGACACCAGCATATGTTCTGTCCTCTCCCTTTGAAGAGAGTCTAATTTAACACGTGTGATAAGACATACCCGAATGAAACATTCAGTAGCAGTGACTAGTATGTCAGTGAGTGCCAAGTGAGTGATACATACCTTGGGTCCCAGTTTATGTTCTGGAAGATCTAATAGCCTTATCAAAACCAAAGAATTCTATGATAAAATAAGTTTGGCAGTTCCTTTTACTCTAGGCTTAACAAAGTTAACACATCTGATTATATACAATGTTTTCCCCACCAAGCCCTGGAAAGTTGTATTCTGCTGGTTAAGGAATATTTCTCTGTTGTGGTCATCCCTAGAAGCTATAGTCTCAGAGTTGGTATGGCATAGACAGTTGGCATAGAGATCTTCTAACTAGTTGCTTCAAACTTTTCTCCTGCATATAGCCTAGAAGAATTTTTAAACAATAATGTAAATAATATACTCGTCTCATATGCTTATAAATTGACATGCAAAGCTTTTAAGAATTATAAGTTGCAGAATATAAGTAAAGGATGTCATTTTGAATAAATTACAAATATTGGCATTTAAAAATTAAATGGTGTTATTCTTCTAAAGATATAATCTA